GTTACCGTACAGAAATAGATGGGCCGTTTCAGCAGAAATAAGACTTGTTGGTTTGAAACTGGAAAATACTTTGAACACAGGGAGTGAATACATTATTAGTTGAGAAACGTTATTTGAGAATCTTGCAGGTTAAGGTTGCTTGTTAAACTGATTAGAAGTTTAACTGATAATAATCAATAAATTAATTAAAAAGTATGTTTTATGTTTAAACATTAGGGCTGTGTATTGGCAAGAATTTGGCGATACGATACATATCATGACAGAGGGGTCACGATACGATATATCCCGATATATTGCGATACTGTAAGCAAGGCGATATATAAGATAAGTATTGCGATATATTGCGATTTTAGCCATGATTTTATAAATTGCGATTTGGCTCCTCTACCTCAAGAGGTAGAGGAGCCAAATGTCTGGCTCACTGCTGCCAACTAGTGGTCAGAGGCTGAACTACAACATAAAAATGAACGGCTGGCAGGAAAGTTGACATTTTAAACCTTAATAAAACATCGATACAGGGCTTTAGAATATCGATACAGTATCGGGAAATAAAATATCGCGATATTTCAGTGTATCGATATTTTCTTACACCACTATTAAACATCCATCAAATTTTCATCCTAAAGGTACTTATTACAACTATAAAATGAAACGTGTTCAGGCTATTTAAACCGGTATGTCCGGTATTCAGGAAATTCATATCATAACAAAAATAAAACCAGTTTTCAGTACAAACCAGTATACTGTCCAGCACTAGTTTCTGTTACCTTCTGTTGTTATTTTCAATAAAACTTATTAAAAGAAAAAAAGATAAAATGATACAACTATAACTTTTCATCGCTGTGGATTTCTTCAAGATGTTTCTTAAAGTTTAAAAATAATAATATTGATAGTAAAACTAAATGATTTTGTTAGAAGTCTTCATGGTTTCTGTTAGAGAGTCAGCTGGTAATGTTAGTTAGCACTGAAACCAAACTGGATGTAAACATACGGCAAGCCAGGAGGGACACAAATACAGAAACACGCCTCAACTTTATCACACACACGATGCCATGAGGAAAATCCATCTGATGCCCTATGAATCAATTTTCCCAACTTTAAATGAAATTGATCAAAGATCGATTAAATTGATTTTTAAATTAATTAATGTATTTTTACCCAGCCCCAGTCATTTTGTGGGGTTAACCTCTCTGTTGGACTGAATCTGTCAGCCTTGAATAACGTTTGCCCTGGTTTGTTTTGTATCTAGTCACGCTTCGGCCACTTCTGCTTCTGTGTTCTTAGTTTTAGACATCTTGCAAGTTTTTCTTCTCGACTGGCAGCTTTAGAACAGGACGTGTCTGTGGCTAAAGAGTTTCTGTCTGAGCTGTCAGCTAATGTCTGGCTTTTCTGCTGATGCTGCCGAGCTCTGGCTCTTGATCACTTTATGACCCAACTCGAAATGTTCTGTAGCTCTGTGGCTTTTTTCCTCCAAACCCCGGTGAACTTTAGACAGGCGCTCTAGCACAACCAAAGACTTGCCCTGTAAACTGAGTGGAGATTTGATTTCACTGATAAGGAGTGGGAAGTGTCAGCGAGCTCATTGGATTTGTTGGCCACTCTCGCTGTGTTGTGTCATCATGGAAAGAGGAAGGACATGAGCAGTAAAGACGGGCTTTCTCTCAAGTTGACTGTTTTTGGGGGTGGATTCTGATTATGCTGCAGTAATGACTGTACTCTTCCTTCTTGTTCTAATAAAAATACATTTTTTATGGTAAATGTCATTTCTGCTGTGGAAATGAAATCATAATCTCTTCTGTTTGTTGGAACCTTTTAGCTGCAGGATAGTAAAAGCTGGATGGCGAGGTGTACTGCTTCCAGACATGGGCTGAATTTTAAACGTCAGATCCTCAGTTTTTCTGGTCTTTGCTTTGATTTTTCCATCATGTGTGTAAAACATGTCTGAGGCTAACACCACACCTGTTTGTAGTTACAGCGGGTATAATAAGTATTGAACACGTCAACATTTTTCTCAGTAAATATATTACTAGAGGTGCTAATGACATGAAATTTTCTNTGAGAAAAATGGTGATGTTTTCAATACTTATTTTACCCGCTGTATTTTGTGAAGCACTCTGTGACTCACTCTGGTGTCTGCTGTTACCTTTCATTTCCTGCCTTTTGTTTGTGATCTGATCTCATGTAATTATCTTTAAAACTTGTTGTTGTCAAGAGAAACAAGTCCTGACGTGGTGATAAAGTCCTTTGGTGTTTGCATGTGCAGTATAAATGTTTGTTTATACACCGTGCCTGGTGCTTGAAATAAAACGGTAACAAACTGTGGAAGTTGAATCCGTTTGACCTTGAGTTTTTCTCCGGAAAAAATATGGATGAAATAATAAAAACAGTAGAAAAAGAGCTAACTGAGTTGAAAACATGGTTTGACTATATCAAGATGTCATTAAATGAAGGGAAAACTAAATTTATGGTATTCTCCGGTAATCGGATCCATAATAGTGTAAAGTTATGTACAAATGGAGTTGAAATTGAAAGAGTTTATGAGACAAAATTTTTAGGAATTGTTATAGACAATAAACTCAGCTGGAAGCCTCATATAGAACATATTACCTAATTTCCCTCTGGGATCAATAAAGTGTTTTTTTTGTTTTTTTGAATTGAATTAGAAATAAAGTTTCAAAAACTGTTGGAATATTGTTTAAAATTAAAGTTTTTTATAAAAATTAAGGTTTGCATATTATATATTCCTCCTTGGTTTTGCCTTATTCATCAGACTGCTCAGAAATATGGGGAAATGCAAGTAAAAAAAACATTGATGTATTAGTTAAGTTGCAGAAAAAAAGCTATAAGGCTTATTAATAAAGTGGGATATCATGAACCCACTGATAAACTCTTATTTGGAAGTAATATATTAAAATTTAAAGACAGTTTATATAAAAATACTGGAAATAATGTGTAAAGCATTGAACAAAAGTCTTCCTTCTGGTATTCAGAAATTATTTAAGTTAGGAGAGAATAAATATAATCTGCAAGGTTTATTTATATTTGAATGTGTAAAAGAGAAGAACCAGGTGAAGTCCAAATGTGTTTCAGTTGTTGGTGTGAAACTGTGGAATGAATTGAATGATGATCGGAACTTGTGTTTTTTTGGTGAGCTTTAAAAGAGCTCTGAAATGTAAAATGATAACATTTTACGGTTTTATGTAGATTTGTTTATGTATTGTGAAGATATCTTGGTAGGTTGTCGAGTATAAAATAGGGTAGGCAAGAATAAGCTTGGCTTCAGCCTATCCTCTTTTTGGTAAATTTTGAGTTTTTTTTTGTTGTTTTTTTAATGTTTAATGTGAAAGAGTTACCAAAAATAAAGTGATTGATTGATTGATTGATTGATTGATTGATTGATTGATTGATTGATTGATTGATTGATTAATTGAGTTCACACAGAGGTCGGGGTGGACAAAATCAAGTTTGAGCGCAATTAACTGTCAGAAAAAGTGCCACTGATTAATATTTGGCACTTGTGATTATTAATATTATGATTAGTGACTTATATGTCAATATGGCGCAAAGCTAATGCTAACTCAAATGCTGAGCTAACACTTACATTGAGCTAAAACTAACATGGCAGTAACGCTAAAACTAAGTCCAAACTAATGCTAATGCAGCACTAACACTAACGTGGAGCTAATACTAACATTGAGCTAACTTTAACGCAGAGCTAACACTAACATAGCACTAATGCTAACACTAATTCCAAGCTAATGCTAATACAGTGCTAACACTAACGTGGAGCTAACACTAACACTGAGCTAACACAATGGTGGCACTAACGCTAACCCTAACACTAAGCTAACACTAATGTGGCACTAATGCTAACTCTAATGTGGCATTATTGCTAATGCTATCACAGAGCTAATACTAGCATGGTACTAATGCTAACACTAACACGGTGCTAAAATTACACGTATTGAATACTAATGCAGAGCTAGCATTAATGCAGAGCTAACACTAATGTAGCATTGATGTTAACACTAACATAGCATTGATGCTAACACTAACGCGGATCTAACGCTAACACTATAAACTTTTTTAATCAACTTGAAACGCTTTCATAAATCGGAGCAAAGCTAGAAAATGCGGACCACTGGAAGGAGAGACCATGGGGCGTGGCTGTGAAAATGACGAAGTTTAACTCATTATTTTAGAACACTGGGTGACTGATTTAGAGTCAAAAACATGCAGTAATCATAATAATTATTGGCTAAATGTCATAATTAATGATGAATCTTTTTTCCTGCCAAAAATCAGCCAACCCTGCGCAGAGGGCAGCTCTGAAGGGCCGACAAAATGATTCAATAAACCTTAGTGCTGAGTTTCTGTCACAGACAGCACATTTGTACAGATCAGAGTAAGATTTATTATTTTTAGTTTTTTGTTATTTCTCTTCTTTTTAAAGGTTTGACAGCAGTGAGTATAAAAAGTTTATTTCAGGGTCTCTGTGTAAAAATGCAGCCAAAAAGCACCAGACTGATCATAGTTGACTCATGACTGGGTGATGAAGTGAGGGTTTAGATAGTTGAGCTGTTTTGTGGCACTCTGCCAGCCTGTTGTTTCTGTTCTTATCACTGAATGATGATATGTGATGAATGTAGGCTCAATGAGTGTGAAATCTCCTAGCAACTGGTTCAAATAGTCTGGAGAGAAGTTGGCAAGTGGAACGAACGGCTAAATATACTGAATATCAGCTATTCTCTGGAGAAGAGGTGTAAAAATATTATTATCAGCCACGACTTTATCTCTACTGTATCTGATAAACAAATCAAAAACATGAGCTGTACAGATATTTGAAAGTTTACACAAATTGCTTTTTTAATATGTCATTGATTCGATTTTGTTATAAGAAAATCGTTGCATAAACCTGATCTGAAAATGTAAAAATTCCCTGTCAGAGTTTGGGAACATTAAAGTTTTGAGATGTTGAAAGTCGTTTCTCTGTGCTGCAGGGCTGCCTTTGCCCTGACAAAGCCGCTCAAGATGAACATGGTGAAAAGGATCATGGGGCGGCCGCGGCAGGAGGAGTGCAGCCCCCAGGACAACGCGCTGGGCCTCATGCACCTGCGGCGCCTCTTCTCAGAGCTGTGCCACCCGCCTCGCCACATGACCCAGAAGGAGCAGGAGGAGAAGCTCTACATGATGCTTCCTGTATTTAACAGGGTAAGTCATGGGGCTTTAAGGAAATATTGATACACTCTCTAAAGCACTGTGTTAATTTTTAATTAAGGTTTAAAGGGGACCTATTATGCAAAATTCACTTTTTAAAGGTTTTTTTTTTACTCAACTTTGGGTATGTACTTCTTAAAAAAACAGTCCTAGGACCAAAAAAATGCACCCAGGGGCATATTTACTGTAAGTAAATGTATTTTTAATGTATATTAACGACAAGTTTTATACTTCCATCATTTTGTGATGTCACAAGCTTTACTACAACCCACCAGAACCTGCGTTCAGCCCCTTACCTAGCAACCCCCGAGTGAAACTCCACCTCCTCAGTATTAAAAACAGTCACTGTGTTGTTGTGTAATGTGCAGCTTGTTTCACAACAAGCCTCCAACAGGGCAATGAGTAGAGTGTTGGACCAGAGACTGGGAGACCAGGGTTTGAGATCGACATGGACACAAACAATTTAATTATTTATTTTCGTTCGTTATGAACACGTTTTTTCATGTACCTCTATTGTTTAGCTTGTTAAAGCCTTGTTAAAGCCTATTTGTTTGAGTTTCTGAGGTATTTTGACCGCTGCTGCTCCCTGCTCTGGTAACAGCATGCAGAGTGAGCGCAGAGCTCCGACACAGGAGGAGGGGGAGAAAAAAAAAGCTGGGACCACGACTCTGCCTCTGGGTCTGACTCAGGGTATACAGTTGTACAACGGAGCTTCTGCTATTATTAGCCATGCTAATGTAAATGCTGGCTTTAGAGGGCGGACCTAATGTCAACAGATTTTTGGAGGGCGGACCTAATGTCAACAGATTTTTGGAGGGCGTTACCAACAGAGCTCATTAACATAAACAGCTCATTCTGAACAGAAGTCAGAGCAGACAGAACTAGAAAATGGGGAATTTTGTTATCTGATAATTATTTTGTGCATTAAATTGAATGAACATGGTCTGGATAGCCCACAGACATAACATAAACATTTCTGGGACCCATAATCGGTCTCCTTTAAAGTGTCACAGTTCCAGTCCTGAAACCTGGATAAAAAAAAACATTTTTGTTCTGAACCGGTGTAGCGCCCAGCTCAAGGCTAATGTCCAGTTCAGCAGAGTGATGTCATCATTTCTAATCCTCCTGTTTGTTGCAGCGATCATATAATTTGCCTGTTTGTTCAGCAGCCGCTGTTGCAGACGGCCCGGCTGAGTGTTCTCATCAAACCTGAGTGTCTCTTGACTCGTTAGCTAATTACCCTGCGCTGGCAGGGAGTCACCCGCTGCTGCCGTCGTTGATGTCAGGATTCAAAACGTGCAGCAAAGAACTCCCTGTGCAGTCAGGCCTGTTGGATAAATAAATGCTTGACAAGCCTTTGTTGAATGAAGGATGATTTGTCTTTGGCTTTGCCTGCATCGTGCAGGTCAGGATCAGGCAGAATGAGAACAGTCTGCCACCCTTAACCATCCCATTTTCTCTGCTTTATAGGACTTTAGTGTCAATCAGTCCTCATCAACTATGAGGACTGTCAGACTCAGAAAACAAATAATGACTCCCAGTGGGAGCTTCACGCCCAATTGCTCTCTTCATCTTCATCCTGTTTGTTTTAAAAGTCAAAGTAAAGCAGATTTCTTTGCTGCAGGTGTTTGGAAATGCTCCACCCAGCAGCATGATGGAAAAGTTCTCCGACCTGCTGCAGTTCACCACCCAGGTGTCGCGGCTCATGGTGACGGAGATCCGACGACGGGCCTCCAACAAATCCACAGGTGAGCTGCGGGACCTCTACGTGTTCAAATGTAAACATGATACGAGCCCAACTGTTCCTTTAGCATCACTAACCGTGTTTCCATCAAGGCTTTTTGGTGTGCATTTAGAAGTGTTGCATTAAAAATGCGAAAAAAAGTCGGATGGGAACAGAAAAATAAAAAATAAAAATCCTCAATTCGCTAAAAAGTTTTTGCGCTCGCTTGAGGTGGTTTTTGGATGATTCGCAAAGTAGTTAATGCGCAAAACGGGAGGTGGAAACACGTTTGCCGAATAACTTCTGACGTAGCGCATATTTACCTCACGTGAAGTTCAGCTGTTTCCGCTTTCCTGCCTCGTCCCGGATTTTATCATAAACGAGCGAAAACATGGCTGCGAACAACAACAACAGGTATGTGTGGACTGACGAAGAGACGAGAACATTTCTCTCTTTAATTTGCCAAAGAAACGTTAAATTAGCCGTTAAGCCGTTAAAATCGCGCCATTGTCCCGAGATTATTAGCCTCTGCTAGTTAGCAAGTTTCACTTCCTGTTTACTACCGCAGAGCTTGTCGCCGACATCTGACATAATCACGCATTGTGTAGCCTCTTCTGACATAATCACGTGTTGCGTAGCCTCGTCTGACGTAATCATGTGTTGCGTAGCCTCGTTTATTCACATCAAACGTTTGAGAGGGAAACTAGATGGAAACAGTCTAGATTCGAAATTTTATTTATTAAATTTTTTGCGAATTTTGAAAAGTTCGATAAAAATACACTCCACAACTGGATGGAAACACGATTACTGGTGATCTAACCTCTCCTCTTCCTCATGATGTGTTGTTTTCAGAGCTCTGATTCTGTAACATCTGAACACACTCCTCCAGCTGGTCTCCAGACCTCTGTAGACTGAGTCAGCAGCTGAGTCATGATTGCAAATGATTGCAGACCTTTTTTCATCAGCGGAACAAATGATTTTTTTGGGTCAAAGCAGCGAGTTCGGCTCGTTTTGGCCGGACGAGATAAAAGACGGAGGCTCTGTTCTTTTTCCATCTAATATCTGATCACTGTTGATCAGATGACAGAGACCATCTGCTGTTAAATATCACTCTCCATCTGTTTAACAGTTAGGAGTCGAAAGGTTTCATGTATTTATATCAAAAGTTTTCAGTTTTGGCCTTTTGGTTTGGCATGTGTGCCGAACAAATGCAGTGTTTTAGTAAAGCAGAACTAAAGTAAAATCAGCACACAGGTCAAGAATAAGGCTGTGTGGTAAATGTGACAGACGGTAGAAATGATATGAAGTTGGCCTACAGTAGAAAATGACCGTCTACCTGTCGTTAGTTACATCATCACTCCTGTGTCAACAGGGCTGTGAGTGCAGAGACAACTGAGCAGGAGGAGTTTGAAATATAATGAAAATAAATTAAGAAATGTGTTTTAAAACACGTGTAGAGAGATTAAATCCTCTAAATTTCCCCCTCCCGCTGTAGAAAAGTTAGGTCCTGTCGCGGGATCATTTCCTCCCTCCTGCAGCTCGTCACGCAGAGCGAAGCTTTAACAACCATAGTTTTTTACACCCAAGTTGTCAGAGAAAAACCTTGTTTTTATGTATTGTTACCCACAGAGATAATTAAAAGATGTGGATCTTCGTTCAGTCATAAATCATCTTGCTAATGTAACACTAGCTGTGTTTCATTGCAAATGTTCGCAAAACTTTGTCGATATTCTGTTATTGTCAAAAAACACTGTTTCACAACTGCAGTGTTTCCATTAAGTAAGAAATGCTATTAAAGTCACGCGTGAATACATTTGTTCTCATGATAAATCATTACAAACATGGCGGCGATGGATGTAAACACATAGCATATTGCTACCACGACACTAGCACTCATCATCAGAGGAGACGTCGGCGTCTTTTATCGAGGCTTTCCAGMGACAAGTCCCTACTTGGGAGCGGCTACGTATGCTGTGTTTTTGGGAAATTGTAGTCGGTGAGTTTACTACTATTTTACTACTTCTGTGATATTACTACTACTTCTACTTCCTGTTATCTTCTTCATCATCGTCTTTTTCACCAGTAGAAACAGACGGTTGTTGATCACGTGACTCCTGTGATGTGAAAAAAGTGTTTCCATTGCAGTTTTGCGAAAAACACCAATTTTGATACGTCCTAAAAACCACCTCATCCTAGCGCAAAAACGTTTTTGTCGAAAAACTTAATTTTTTTTAAATTGGCGTGTTTCCATTGAGCAAATTTATTTTTGAAATTCTAATTTGCGCATTTTCATGGTCAATGGAAACGAAGCTAGTAACAGTATAAGTTCAGCAGGCAGAAACTCATTGTATGGCAGGCTGATATTACATTTATTTGACTTAACCACACTTACATTCCAGTTATGTGAAATAGTTTTATGACAGGACTATATGCAGCTTAAGGTCCTGTACAACTTATGCCAACTTAAAATATTATTTTATGTCTAAATGAGTATTTTTACTTGAAGTACTGGTTAGAACATCCACTTTATTTTAATATTGTTGAAAATTTGAGAAATGTTTTTGTTTGTTGTTGAAACCGTTTTACAATATATAAAACATTCTTTTGTATTTCTGTTATGTTCATTTGCACAACAACAAAAATGTTGGCTTTGATTACAGTTTTCTGCTAAATAAATGCTCTAAAAATTACATTATCTTTGCTTTTTATGATCATTTTCTATCATGATATACAGTATACTGTTACTGTGAAGGGATTCAGTTTATACCGATGTGAGTTTGAGGTCATACCGCTCAGCCCTCGTCGAGAAAACAACACCGAGCCTGGAGAGCACAGAGAGTAGAACCTGAAGACCCCCGCTCACATTGAAGCCTGCTGTTTGGGAACTTTCTGGTTTCCTACAGCGATGGAGATCAAACAAGAGTATTGTTCAACAACACTAACCGGTTCCACTCATTTGGAGCGAGATCACCTGAATCGAAGCAGAACTGGGAGGAAGACCAAACAAAGTGAAGTGCAAACATGGATAGGCAGGGCGGGAGGATCACTGGACCCTCATATATGCTGTTTACATTAGTTTGATGTCGCTGCACTAAACTGTGATTTTAACACCAAAGCAAGGAACAAACTGTGATACCTGTGTCGTTACAGCTGTGGTAACGACACGTTGTTGTGTTTGTGTCTGCAGAGGCAGCCAGTCGAGCCATAGTCCAGTTCCTGGAGGTGAACCAGAGCGAGGAGGCGAGTCGTGGCTGGATGCTGCTGACCACCATCAACCTGCTGGCCTCTTCTGGACAGGTGAGAGAAACATTTCAGTTCAGCCTGGGAACTCAGTCGCTCTGGAAACAATCACCAAATACAGCCCAGTGTTTCAGCTAAATAAAGGTTTAACCCTGTTAGAACCCAGTTATTCTGTGTGTTTGTGTGTCGGATTGATGGAGCTTCTCTAGTTGACTACAAAGAAGAAAAGCTGGCTTTAGCTAATCTTTCTCCTCTTTTTATATTTTGTCTTTGCGTCAAATAGCTGTTTGTATTTTCACAGCTTTAATCAAAAACACTAAAGGAGAACTGGCTAAAGCTTAGCTGAACGGTAACAGAAGGAAAACCTGGACTCTGACCTCTTGTTTTGAAGCTAGCAGACGTCTTTTGAACTTTTCAGAACGAATTCCTGAGATGTTGTGGGGGAGCGCTGCTGTCAGCTGGCTGACAGGCTGCGCTTTATTTTTTTACTTTTTATTCCTGTTCTGCTGCACGGCACGAATTCAAACACGCTCGCCAGACATGTGACGAACCTTCTCTTCACTTTGACTTTTTTATATTTATTCAGTTCTGATGCAGACAGTTAGAAGCTTTAAGGAGAACTAGACAAACTGTATTTGCTGCTAAAATTAGCGTAAATGATTTTTGCAGAAAAGCTGCTGAAATGGAGCTGAAAATGTTTCATAGTAAAACAGTTAATGCCAGTTCAATTTGAAAAGCAGGAAGAGGCATAAACATGTTAAACTTAGCAGAAAACAGTAGAAAGGAGCTGAATAATAGCTGAAAAAAGCTAAAATTAACATAAAAACAAGCTAAAGGTAGCAGACACAAGTTGAAATTAGCACCAAGATGATGAAAGAGGAGATAATAAAGTCAAATTAGCAGAACAAAAGCAGAAAAGTACAAAAAAGTGACCATTTGTTGTAAAATAGCTTAAACAGCCAAAAATGTGCAGCAAAACAGCTAAAATGTAGCTGTGTTTTTTGTTTAATTAGCATAAAGTAAAAAAAAGTTTGCTAAACTAAGTAGACTGCAACTGAAATTGCCACAAAAATGTAAATTTGGCTTAAAAAAGCTGAACTTTAGCTGAACATTAGCTGAACATTAGCTAAACTTACAGCAAATAGCTGAATATTGCAAAAAGCAACTTTTAGAAGCAGAAACAGCTCTAATTAGCAGAAAGAAACACAAAATGTAGCAGAAGAATAGCAGAATTATAGCTGAAGTAGCAGAAAAAGGCTAAAATTAGCAAAAGAGAAGCTAAAATTAACACAAGTAAGTTAGAAAAACAGAACCAGAACAAAAGGTGTGAAGTTCTGTAAAGATTTAGAAACAACAGCTCCATTCATTCTCAATGGGAAAAATATGGCTGAAAAAGGGAAATAGCTAAAGAAGTATAAACAGCTAAAATGCCAAAAGTCAAAGCAGGATTGTCATAAATGAGCTGAATGTTTTGATTTATAAACTGTTGAAAAACTGTGGAACGAGATACGAGCTGAAAAAGTTCAGGAAGTAAAACTGAAGTGAACAGTGTGTTTGTGAAGAGTTCACACAAATAAACACCAGTTCTGACAAAAAAAAAGACAAAAACTGTTGTTGAGGTTTGTAATTATAAAGAGTTGTTCCTCATCAAAGCTCAGAGACACAGAATGTTCTGGATTGTTTTTAAAATCAGCAGCTGTTTTCAGTTTAAACATTTTAAAGCAAATAAAGAGGAAAAAGATCCATTTCTTATTTTTATTTTCAGACGAGAGTCTGAACCTGAATCCATCTAAATTCATTTGAACACTTTTAAACCACTTTATTCATCGTCCTTAAAGGAAACGAACTTCCCTTTTTTCTCCTATTTTTATATTTCAGGAAGTAGAAGCTGTTTTGAGACTGAAGGGAGTTTTCTCTGAAATGATGCAGAAAAATCAGAGCTGGAGGTTCTGGAAAAGTTAAAGTTAAAATAAGAATTTATGTGTTTTTTTTAACTTGCTGTTGTTTCATCGGTTACTTGAATTTTCTCATTTCAAATGAACTGTTTTAAAAATCACTGCCCATCCTGCAGAAACAGTTTTCTGGGTCTGATGATGAATATGTGAAGAAGTGGCTGAAAGCAGAGCTGAACAGAGAGCTGTTTGTAAAATGAGTTTTGTTTCTTTCCTCTGGTGTCAGAGGCAGTAAAATAAAACCAGGACCTCCACACAGCTGCCCCCCATAAACCTGACATCAGCCCGCTTCCTTTCATCCTGCTCTCCACCTCATCTCCTGCTCTTCCCTCTTCAGAGGATGAAACAGATTTATTATTATTATTTCTTTTTTTTTTTTTAGCTCTGCCTGTTTCATTTTTACAGGAAGCTCTTCGGTTCGTCTCTTTCATTCTTCAACACGGACAGATTTATTTGTTTTCTTTTGATGAAAAATAAAAAACTCTACAAATGGTCACTAAAATAACTCAAAATTGACAAAAAGTAAGAAGTAAAAATGACCAAAAATCTGAATTTGGTTTTCAGTTTTTGCTTTAGAATTTTGAATCAATAGATTTATTTAAAAAACAAACTAATAAAACCCTGAAAATAATTTGACCACAGGAACATGTTAGACTTAACTACCGTATTTTTCAGACTATAAGCCGCGACTTTTCACCTGAACTTTGAACCATGCGGCTTATAGTCCGTTGCAGCTTATATGTTAATGTTGGCAGATTTTTTTTTAAAAAATGGCGGGTGCGGCTTATAGTCCGAAAAATACGGTAATTAGATTTAATTATTTTCTGTCGTGGCACCAGCATTCTTCATACAATCAGCTGATTATCAAAGTAAATAAGATGTTATTTTTACTGTATTTGTGGAAAAAACACATTTAAAGTTAGTAGGTGCTGTTATACCCAGGAGTTAGTTTTAACAGATTTTTATTGTCGCAATAAATGTCATTATTTCCTCATATAGAACAGAAATATTCTGTGGTGGGGGAGAAGTCACAGTTATTATTATTTTTCTGTTCATAACCATGTTTGTAAACAACAACAGGAGTTTATTTTCTTCTTATTGGATTCAGAGATTAACCACACCACAGAGATGTAAAGAAGCAGACTTGTAAAGTAACTAAGAACAAATACTTTGTTTGTACTTAAGTAGAAATTTTGGGTATCTTTACTTTTCTTGAGTAATTATTTTCAGTCTACTTTTTACTTCTACTTCTTACATTTTTCACACAATTATCTGTACTTTCTACTCCTTACATTTTTAAACAAGGTAAGAAGTAGAAAGTCGTTACTTTTATTTAATTTTGCTCATTATTGTTGTTGTTGTTTTTTTTCTAGCCACTTCAGTAGAAAACAGAACTGAATGTTAGTTTCTTGATTTCTGCATCATCATAGGGTTGGGCATAATGGTATCATGTGCAATTAATTGTCAGAAAAACATTAATCGATTAATTTTTGGCACTTGACGATTAATATGATTAATGCCAACAGGCAGAGTCCGCTCGGTGCTCCTCTCCGCTTCATATATGACAAACATTAAAAAAAAGTTCTGTAACTTATTTATCTATCAACACAATTTAAAATTTGATGTACAGCCTGAAGTCTGTAATTTTGACACAATTTGGAACAGATTTTTATGAAGAGTAAATCTTTCCCACTAAATTGGTCATGTGACCAGGACATAAAGGTGTCCATGGACTCCAGGGGATTAACCGTCAAATTAATCGTTATCGGCTAAATACCACAATTAATCGTGATTAATTTTTTTGCCAATATTGCCCCACCCTAATCATCAGTGACTTTTTTAATACTATAGTGAAGAAGAAGAAGAAAAAAAAAGTAGAAGAGAGATATAGGAACTGTAAAGAGAGAAACCGATAGAAATTAAACAACATGTGAAATGAACACCAGTAACACACAGGACACCACAGCCGACATCTGACCATCAGCAGATGAAGAGAACAAACACCCAGCAACCAAACTTAAACATATGTATGTACATATACCCATACGCACATATATAAACATACAAACACATATACACATCCACACCTACGAACAATAATTATGACTAATTATTAAATGAAAATTATTTATTTAACCCACCTAGAACGTTTAATTCTCAGACATTTTATTCTTTTCAGCTCAAATTAAACAAAGATAGAACTGTTGCCTTCAAAGTGAATAAGTAATTAGTTAAATAAAGCAGGTAATGACAGGTGCAGAAAACAGCAGCATCCCAACATACATCAGAAACTCACCCAAATGAGCATTTTCTGTGAGATGCTGCATTTTATAAAGGATTCCGTTTTGTGTCAATTCCATGATCCTGTCTGCATTTTCTGCATTGCAGAAATCATCGGCCCCTACATATCTCAGTCATATTTTTATTAATTTTTCTACACATCACCCTCTGTAATATCCTCACATACCCCAAGGGTACATGTATCCCTGGTTGGGATTCACTGCTCTACATGACTA